ATATATATATATATATATATATATATATATATATATATATATATATATATATATATATATATATATATATATATATATATATCATCACCTTGTGAGGCGTATATAGTTACATAGACTTTGAATGAGGTTTAGCCTTAAAGCCTTAACCCAGGTAATTACCTCCTCAACCCTCAGCAATGATGCTAATCCACAGAGAATAAAGTGAGAGATGCTTACCAGAGAAGCCTCATTAAATATTTACTTTGTTTGGCCACCATCTACAACTTGCACAACAAGCACCCACAGATCGTTTGGTGTCCTTTCTTCACAGTTCTTTCCATGCGCTGCTGTCACGTCTCTGCAGGTGATGCCAAGGCGCTTAGTTAGACTTTTTTCTACGGCTGTCTACACAATATTGGTTGATGATCGCAGACTGTGAGCCAGTGCGTTATGTGTGACGATGTTAAATATTAATGTCTGGAGATGATTACTTGAGAGATGGAGAGAGGCAGGAGGTGTGATGGAGAGGATGACACCTCCCCATTCATCATGGGGACTTTAACAGAATCTAAATCCTTCCTGTGATTCTAACCTTCGTACTCCTGAGGGAAGAGGTGGAGAAAGAAAGTGGCATAAAAAGGGAGAGGCGGAGAGAGGAAGACGTGACACTGAGATATGGGCTGAGAATGGGAAAAGGGATAGATCTGACACTATTCAAGTTATGAGCAATATGTGAAAACGGGATGAACAAAATGTAAAGATGGATGGATGGATTCAAAGCAAGATTATGAGCTGTGATAGGAATGAAAAAAAAAATAAGGGAAGTGATATGGTGAAAAATAGGCCTGCATAATGTTAAAAGTATAAAGCGCTTTTTTCTCAGCTGACCTGTCAGGGTATCCCATGTGACGCGCTGACGGATGTGCAGAAAGGAGCTCTTATCTTATTTTGTCAAGGTCTGGCAGTCACTCAAGTTCTACTCAGCATAAATAAACAAGTGGGGAGGAAAATGGCAGCCATCTCCCCTTCTCTTCAAGGGTGTCATTTGATTCACATTTGTCACTTCCTCAAACTCTGTATTTTTCAGCTGAGCAAATAGGGACCGGACTCCCATTTGCCTGCTTAATGTCTCCTTGAATTATATAATCAAGCAGAACATTGGCTGAGGGAGATGGAGGAAATATATATAACAATGGCGCTCCCGAATAACTTTCATGCATCATACCATTAGAGCTCCAGAGGTGTGTTATTCATTTTTACTGCCCAGCACCCAAAACCAATCGTACAGTGCAAGAGGATTTGTTATTACTGTTGTGTTATTTTCTCTTTCTTTTTTTCGTTAGGAAATACTTGGCACTGCCAGTTTAACTTAATCTCTTCATCCATCCTTTTGTTTTGAATTAAACCTGCTCAATTTCCTTTTTTTGGGGGTTTGTTTGTGGAATGTTTTGATTGTGAGAAATGTTTAGCTAATGTTTAGATCTGGTAGATCTGGATTTTTAATTCATTTTGTTGTGCTTTGCTTGATAAAACCTTGTTTTTTTCCACTCAACCTGCCTGATTGCTAATGCTAAATCAGTACAATATAAGTTAGATGAGTGAAGCCCCCAGAACGGTTGAGTTTACCAATGTCCTCTTGAATGAACTGGCAAAATAACTGTAGAAGAGTTATTTTTTTTGACTGCATTAAACCAATAGAAGGAGTAAGGCTCCTTTTCCTTAAAATGTTTTTACAGTAAATGCCTTGAACAGGAGCTAACAACAAACTCTAAATAGGATTTTAAATCTAATTAAAATCTGACAGGATCCTCTCGACTTGTAAATGCACAAATGTGTTGGTGCTGGATGACATTTTGTTTTCAAATTCATTACATGGCACCAAACAAGAGTCAAAAGGCAATAAACTGCAATAGAGATGAGGATTTGGAAGGTTTTTCATTGACACAACCCACATACATACTTAACTATGCTCTTCAAGTCACAAATGGATTTCCTTTACAAATGTGGCACCATTTAGAAGAGAATAAATGGGCTTTGCAGTGGTTGATTTATTACTAAGAATCGTTGTTACAACAAAGATCTATGAACCAAACAGAAATTTTCTTTACTTTTTGTGCAAAGTTTAGTTCTATAAAATAAACAGTTTTTACTTGGCACATTCAAGGAATGTCCTGAGGTTACATTTAGTAGATTTTGATATTCAGTTTCACTGTGCAATAATGTTTTATAAGCAATTTATATGTGAGTTGCCTGACTCAAGTTTTGTTAAGAGGCTTTCAAGGATGAGTGACAGTGAAAGCCTTGAAAAGTCTGTGGATGCTGCATAAAATAAGCTGTTTAATTTAATGAGTCACTGCTGAAAATCCAAAAAGCAATTGTCCTCCTCATTATGAATGAGAAATACATCAGAAAAAAAACTAATTATTGTTCAACTGATGTGATTACCTCTTCTAGAAGGGTCAGATTCACCTGCTGCTGAACGTGGCCTGGGTTTAATGTTTTACCCTTTTCTTTCTTTCTGTCTTAAATGTTTGTGCTGACAGGAGTACCAATCTTGCAACACTCTGCCGTGTCCAGACCTAAAAAAGACGACACCCTGGACTCCGTGGACCCCGGTCAATATTTCTGACAATGGAGGCCACTATGAGCAGCGTTTCCGCTACACCTGCAAAGCGCGGATCCCCGACCCAAGTCTCCTGGAAGTAGGAAGACAGAGGATTGAAATGCGCTATTGCTCCAGCGATGGGTCCACTGGCTGCTCCACTGACGGTAAGTGCAGGATAGAAACAGATGCCTGCTAAGCCCCTGGATATTTCCATTATCTAAAACCAACTTGCTCTTTGCCTCTCATTCTGGTTGTTGTCCTATTAATTTCCTTATTGTGTAAAGCTTTTGCATCTATAAAAGTCCTGAAAAAGTTAGATGAGACTTGAATAATTTGTCTCTTGTGTTTTGGATCCCATCCTTGGTGACATTATCTGTGGATCAAAGCAGGCAAGACATGCTAATGATGTTTCAATCCACAAAGCTCATCATTAGTTTATAACTAACTTTAGCGCTTATACTTTTCCTGTTCACAAAAAACACACAGACAGGGACCGCTGAGACCAAATAATGGCATTCACTATACAAAAAAAATTTTTTCCCCCCTCAATTTCTGATCTTTCATACTAAACTCTGTTTTAAGTCAGCCATAGTGCTGTGAAAATCTTTTAATTTGCAAAACCCTGATATATAGAGATGTTTTTTTTCTAGAAAATTATTTCAACCTTCAAACTCAGAAATTGAAATTGACTTGAAAACACATATAAACTACAACTTTGTCCAAAAATTTTGATATCCGACAAGCTTTAACTAGTGACTAAAGTTTGTCAATCACCTTTATCAAACACTCCTAAGATTTGCATAAACAAATCAGTTTGTGATGAGCGTGTTGGAATGCAAGGGTCGCCTTCTGTTGGAAAGAACTGTTTGTCCTCAAGCTTTATTGACATGGCTTATGTCTTAGTTAGTAATTTAATATTTTCACAAAATCTTAATTATTCATCATCTAGGCTATTTTGTGTAAAAAATTAGTCTCTTTTGCAGAGAAACACCTCTAAAAATTAGTTATTAAAATGTTTTTTGTTTTCTAGCTTCATGATTGTCCCTCACATTCTAAATTAGACATTATTGCTAAAACCCAAACATTTATTTATAAGTTATTTTTACTCCACCAGCCATATCTCAAATATGTTATAAAATACATCTGCAGATTGTAAGCAAATTGAAATTGACTATTGTTTTCTTGATTGCTTGCAAATAATTATTCATTTATCTCTGAGAAGCCTTTGCACGCATGTCTGAATAAGATCTGTTTTACTGTGGATAATGAGACTCTCTTCAAAAATTATTTTTTGTTTTTGTTTTAGGATAGATATATTTTTTCAACAAAACATGTTTATCTCTGCGCACAGCGCTCCTCACCTTTTTAAACAGTATAGTGGTTTTACATTCGAAGGATATTTAGTTACCTATAATTGTTAAAACAGTATGCATGCAGCAGCTTTAGACATCTGCAAATAATAATGAGAAAGAATAAACCATAATCGATGGAGGTTTAGAATTCTATTCCTGATAAGTTAGTATCTTAATTTAGATTTTTTTTATGAAGTCACTCATGGAGGGGATGTCTTTTAGGTGTTGGCTAACAATATATCCTGTGGTGCGCCCTGATTTGACTAAGAAGTGGTGAATTAAAATCACAAGCTTTTAAAACATTGATATATCATCCCGAGCTTTCAGAAATGTGTTCAAGGCAACCTAATCTCAGTATTTAAACATCCCTAATTTTGATCGAAAAAGTTAATTCCTCTCAAATTACCTATTTTTAATTTTTGGATATTTTAGGTGATGAATGACCGACTTTCCTGCACTGGTTTAAACTAGTTTAATATGAAATAGTGATAAAGTTTTCTTCTTATTTGCGCTTTTCAGCAGGTTATGTAAATATCTAGTTTAAACTGTAAAACTGTGAGCAGTAAACTTACTTTTTCTCTTTTAACCCATCGTGCAGCTGTTCTATTTGCACCTCACTTTCAGCAGCACCCTGGGTTCTTTCACACATCTAAATGTTTGCTAATTGACAACTTGTTTATGTGCTTAGATGAGGTATTTGTATCATATACAAAGTACCGCACAGAACCATAAAAGAAGTTTAAAAAGAAGCTGCAGCAGTTAAAGCTTGTTTACGATGTTGCTCTAGGCCTCTGCGGGGAAAAAAAGTGCCTTTTTACAGATTCAGATATAGTAACGCCTTGGTAAGCTTTAGTGGTGGCCTCCCTTCATTTTGACTTCGTTTTCATCTCTGGGTGGCCAACATCACCACACACGCTGCTGCAATCACAGAGGTTATCTTTAATGCTCCCTATCGCTAGGGTTGATCTTTTTGATCTTCCTCATCTCCCTTATTTCTTGTTGCTAATCGCCAGCTTTGCGTCGGAGCTGCCGAAGGAACAAGTTGTTCTGCTCCTGCTTTGAAGCCAGCGCTTAAATGTTTCTGAAGGGTTTTAAATGAGCACTGACAAGCGTAGAGTAAACCTGACTGCAGAAACAAAGTTTCACAAGGAGTGACAGCCGCACACATTGGATATTTACAGAATAAAGAGTTGAGCTTTAATAGGTTTGTCTTGAGTGGGATTAGTGGGAGGTGGTATGCGTTTCATCATAGGTTGTCACCAATAGTCTGGCATTAGATTAGCCTCAGAGTTAATTACAGTAATGAAAAAGCAAAAGACTGTCTGCTCAGTTGTCTCTGTTGGTACTTTTGTATTTGAAAGTAAAAAGGTTTTAGCCCCATGGGTAGCAGTGGGCTCTTTGTTCAACTTTTTCACATTGGTTACATTACACCCAGAAACTTCACTATCACAGATCAACATGAAGTAGCAGATTAATAAGATGTTAAAGGGAAAACATATTCTATATTTTCCTATTTTCTTAATCTGAAAGGCGCTGATTGGTATTCAGACCCCTTTACTCTGATACACTAAAGTGAAATGCAGTATAGCCAGTTCCCTTTCAAATAAACCATACTTAAAGTCTGCCTGTTTTTTTTTTTTTTTTTTTTTCGTTCCTCAGAAATTTTTTAACCCTTTATAGGGCACTCAGTGAAATACTTTGAAAATCAAAATTTCAAGCCAATAATGTTACTGGAATCCAGGACAAGACCTTATTACCTTTGTAACATTCAAAATATATGGATATTTTGATGGCAAAAATTAATGTCAATGTAATAACAACAAACGCCAACTTGTCCGAATATGATAAAAAAAAAATAAAAAATGTGCTTCAATAACAAATTCATGAGAAACACTCTGAGAGCGATTTGTAAGGGGTATGCAACTGTACAAAAACAATAACCTGCCCTACAAAGGGTTAACTTGGTGAGGAATGGATAAACAAGATGCCGATTTTTCACACACAAATAAACAAGTGACTGAAAAGAATTATGGAAAAGAAAGGCAACAGAGAAAGGAAGTAGAAACAAATTTAAATTATAACGTTTAACAGTTTTATATCTTTTAGAAAGAGGTCAAAAAGGTGGATTCCTTCTCATGGTTTCACTCTGAATCTAAAAATATGCAAGAAACAGAATTAGATGAATATCTGCATTAAGTATAAATGCCTGCAGAGCACTTGTTCAGGCTTGTGCTCTATGCACTACACCCCAAAAAGCCTGATTACAATTCAGCTTTTAAGCGAAAATTTGTGCAGCACACAGCATTGTTTGGATTGGATACAAACAATATAAAACAAAACACTAAAAGAATTCTTATTTTGAAGCCAGTTTATTTAGTTTGACGCTGACAATCACAAACTTTCAATATGAAAGCTGCACAATCGTTTACACATGAGGACCCTGGGCTCTGTGGAATAGAATTTAAAAAATAAAACTCTTAAGACATCATAAAACACAGACAACATTTGTAAAAGGACTCTCTAGTCATCTGAGGCTGTAATTTATTTTGAACATACAATGTAGATCACCCTGAAACGCCCACAGTAAAGCAGTGTGGTGGCAGAACTCTACTTCATCAAGTTTTCAATCAAATAAGACAAAAAAAAGTTGAAGAAATTATTTTAATGACTATTTAGTAAAAAGGCTACTCAATTACTGAGAAAGGTATCATAAAAAAAGATTTACAATTAAAAATTACATAAAACAAACTAAAATAAAATAAAGTAAAAAAAAAAAAAGATAAAATAAATTAATTGAACGATTAATGTATTCGAAACATGACCAAAAAAGGCAGAAGTAACACTTTTCCAAACAAATTTTGTATTGGCCATAAATCTTACGAAAACCAATCTTCACAGAAGTTGGTGTATTATGTTAGAACAGCCTAAAATAAATAAAGTATTCTTATAAATAAAGTATTCTCATAACAAGCTTGTTTATTACTCAGTGAAGTGACTCAAGTTTAACAGAGTGGCCAAACATTTTACTCAAGTAGGAGTCGTGATATTTTAAAAAGATTATACTCAAGCAGAAGACAAAAAATAAGTTTAAGTTAAACAACACCTTAGAGCAGGGGTGCTCAACCTTTTTTAAACCAAGATCTACTTTTGAAGTTGATGGCATGCCGAGATCTACCAAGCCAAACACAAGGGATGGGCAGTATTTGTATTTTATTTGCACAGGTTGAGAATAAACATTAAGTCCAACAAACGGGGAAATGATCAATTGTGTCAAAAAATAGGTTGCAAAAACAGAACTTAACAATCTCATAAGAACTTCACACCATATCACTCACTCACTCACTCACTCACTCACTCACTCACTCACTCACTCACTCACTCACTCACTNACTCACTCACTCACTCACTCACTCACTCACTCACTCACTCACTCACTCACTCACTCACTCACTCACTCACTCACCAAAACTATAGAAAAGAGCAGTCAAGATCTCCAGACAAAGGCTGTGCAGTCAAAAAATCTAAATACACCAATTGATACACACACACACACACACACACAGTCCAGTAGAGAGAAAACAAAAAAACGTTAGAACTGTAAATTTACAGTCATATGTTTATCACTGTTTATATATATATATATTTTGTATTATTATTTTTTTTGTATTATTTTGTATTTATTATTTTTTAGAGGCTAGAGCGAGAGGGCAGTTCTGAATGTAGCTTGCTACTAAAAAGTTCTGTGGAAGTTTGGAAATAAATATACAGAACAAGTTTACACGCCTCGCCTGTTCTATATAGAATCGAAGAAC